CTTTCTGCTCCTATGATACTGCTTGGCCTGCTGTGTTCATCCAGCCCTGCACCTTGTTGTCATTAAGTGATGATCTCCAGAGCTGAATAAATACATGGGCGATGTAAGGGGTAGAAGTATAAAGGTTATAGGGTTTTGGTGGGGTTGGGTGAAGAATGGTTGGAGGAGTTATGCGTGCAGCGTAAACAGCTTTTGAACCTGTTGATGAAAATGCTTTGAGCCACGGATATATACGATTAATTAAGTCAACTTCTGACGTTATCACCTTACGGATTCCTGAAGTTTTATCCCTGCTAATATAAGACAAAGAACCCAGGGACCCAGGTAATGTTCTGGTTTCGAATCCGACCGAGGCAGATAGCGAAATTTGAATTCATTGAAAAAAGACCTGGAATTAAAAGTCTAATAAGGAGCATGAAACTGTTGTCAATTGTCAGGGGAAAAACATTAATGTCCTTTACGGAAGGAAACTGGTATCCTTACCTGGTCTGGCCTACATGTGACTCCAGACCCACAGCAACATTAACTGCTGGATGGCAATGATTGCTAGTCTAGTCAGTGACACCGACACCCCATGAATGAACTGAAAGGACGTGTTTCACGGAGATCACAAATCTGCAGCCCTCTTCAACTTTCGTCAGTTCCTTTCCCCGTATATAGTACGTTCAGTTCGCCAGCCAGTTTATCCTGTGTGAGTGATTCTCCCCCTGTGACCAATAGCCAGCGGGATTGTTTGACCATGGAAATCTATAAATACAGCCTTGGCTGAAAAGCAGGATAGGATAGCAACCCCCTTCACTGTGCTTAGAAAGGAGGGACAGTCTTACAAGAATATTTTGTAGTCAAATCTTTGGACCTTGTACCAGTAAAAAAATCCTGATGTATTGATGTTTTGCGCTTGTATAGATACTTACTTGAATGCTCAGGCCTTGATCACCTTGGTTTCCCTGCCATGAAACAAAAACAGAGGCCTTGGTCATTGGTTTGATTTACGATCAAGACTGAAATGATGTTCACGGTCAATTTGAGCCTAGCAGCTGATTGGTCACTTTCTAATACAATACTCAGAGTACACTGAGACAACCTTACCTTCCTTCCTTCTCCCTCTAGCAGTCCCAGAAAGCAAGGGGAACATTTGCTACAGATACCACATTGATCTGACTGACTAGAAAACTTTTCTGCTCTTACTGCTTCCAAGAAGCATTTGCAGGCTGATGATCAATCGCTTTGGCTCTCTTTTGAAACAAAATAAAGGTCCTCTGAAAAATACAAATAATGCTCCCTCACCTCCGTCCCCATCAAACATTCCTGGGACAGGGGCAACAAGGGGTCGAAATACTGAATAAAGTTTTCTCTACTCATTTGAACTGAAATTAAAGTTCCCCGACATTGTACCCTTAAACGCTCTTGGGATAGGGACAAAGGATTAAATTACAAAGTAAACTTTCAGCCCTGTCCCCATCAGCCAATCCTGGGACAGGACAACAAGGGGTTAAAATATATAGGAAAAATTCCTTCTATTCATTGGGATTGAAAATAAAGCTCCCAGCCTCTAAGTCCTTCACTGGTATTTGAACTCAGAGCATCTGGTGCACAGATATGGCCACTAAACAACACGTCACGAGACTGCTAACTCAAGGTAGCCTTAAAACTACCCATACCACACAGTTATAAATTTGACCTGTCCCTGATCTTAGCTGATCCCATGTTTCAGGTTTCCTTGCAGTCTGGGAAAACCGTTAGGCTTGTAGAGATATACAGCAGAGAAACAGACCCTTGAGTCCAACTTGTCCATGCCGACCAGGTATCTTAAATTAATCTAGTCCCATTTGCCAGTATTTGGCCCATATCCCTCTAAACCCTTTCTATTCATATACCCATCCAGATGCCTTTTAAATGTTGTAATTGTACCAGCCTCCACCACTTCCTCTGGCAGCTCATTCCACACATGCACCACCCTCTGCGTGAAAAAGTTGCCCCTTAGGTCCCTTTTAAAACGTTCCCCTCTCATCTTAAACCCATGCCCTCTAGTTTTGGACTCCCGCACCCTCGGAAAAAGACCTTGGGTATGCACTCTTATGATTTTATAAACTTCTATAAGGTTACCCCTCAGCCTCCAATGTTCCAGGGGAAAATAGCCCCAGCCTACTCCACCTCTCTCTATAGCTCAAACGCTCCAATCCCAGCAACATCCTTGTAAATATTTTCTGAACCCTTTCAAGTTTCGAAACATCTTTCCTGTAGCAGGGAGACTAGAACTGAATGCAGTATTCCCAAAGTGGCCTAACCAATGTTTTGTACAGCCCCAGCTCCTATACTCAATGGCCTGACCAATAAAGGTAAGCGTACCAAACACCTTTGGCACAACCTGTCTACCTGCACCACCATCCTCAGGGGAACTGCGAACTCCAAGGTAGATACAATAGTGACTTTTAAAGGGCATCTTGACAAATACATGAATAGGATGGGAATAGAGGGATACGGTTCTGGAAGGGTAAGGGTTTTTAGTTGTGACGGGCAGCATGTCAGCGCAGACTTGGAGGGCCGAAGGGCCTGTTCCTGTGCTGTAATTTTCTATGTTCTTTGTCTCTTTCCTCAGCAACACTCCCCAGGATCTTACCATTTATCTTGCCTTCCCTTCAGACACAGCTTTCCCATTGGTCAATCCCACGCCAGCCACGGTGAAGAGTTGCTACTTAGATTAAGATGCCACGAGACGTTTATCATGTTGATAATGTTGCCTGCTGTGTTACGGAGGAGTGTCCCTGTTGAGATGCTTCAACATTTTCCATCCTCACCTGGGAGTTACAGGATAACTTTGTGCTCTAGAAATCTGACTATCGCCTGGTAGGGTTCCTCCCCCAGGCCCAGACCCTGTTTCTACTTCGGAGGAATGTGGAGAGGAAGACACAGGTTTAAGATACATCCACAGGGAGGAGATGAGTAGAATTTTATTGGCAGTGAGTTGTGCTCCAGTGAGAGCTGCCTGGAAAGGTGATAGCACCAAATTCTATAGAGACTTCTGAACAAACAGTGGAATAAATGCTTCTGAAGGGGAAAGTCTGCAAGGACAGTTGAGGAAAGAGCAAGCCAACTGGGACTAAATGGATAGCTCTTTCAAAGAGCTGGCATCAGCCAGAGTGGGCCGAATGGTCCCCTCCTATTTGGTACAATCCTATGAATGGCCTCGCTCATCTACGATCACCATGTCATCAGATCAGAATCTGAAGCCTCTTGCAGATAGTGGTGGTGTCCTATCTCTGAGCCAGGACAGCCATGTTCAAGACTAGCTGCATTACGATAAACGAAAAGTTGTGTTTTCTCGATGTTGAGTGCACTGTGTTAGCCGACAGCAAATACACTCGCACCCCCTCTTCCCCCCAACACTCAAACAAAACATGCCAACATAAGAATAATTTGATAGCCAGACTGACCTTTACTCCAGGTGTACCAGGGGGTCCTTGTGGCCCTAGTGGACCCTTAAGAAGAAGAGAAAGATGGTTAGTACGGTGTAAATAACAGCAGCCATTTTTGCTCTAACACCCACGTTTCATGAAGATCATTTCAAGTCAACTAGTGTGCGAGCATTTTTCAGTTTCTTTTGTGAGATGTGAGTGCTCCATTCCTTATTGACAGTGGGCAGTTCAGAGACAACCACATTAATGTGGAGTCACATGCAGGCCAGACCAGGTAAGGATGGCAGATTTTCTTCACTTAAGAGACATTAGTGAGCAAGGTGATTATTTTTAAACTGGGAGTCTCCATTAGCTTAATTTCTTATTATAGATCTTTATTGAATGCACCTTTCACCATCTGCCATGATAGGTTTCAAACCAACATCCCAGAACGTTAACCTTGGGTTGAATTATGAGTAACATTAACACTGTGCTGACGATGGCCTAGTGGGTATTATGCTGGCCTGTTAATCCAGACACCCAGCTAATGTTCTGGAGACCTGGCTTTGAAATAAAAAATGTCTGGAATTAAGAGTTTAACGATGACCACGAATCCACTGTCGATTGTCGGAAAAACCCATCTGGTTCACTAATGCCCTTTAGGGAAGGAAACTGCCATCCTTACCTGGTCTGGCCTACATGTGGCTCCAGACCCACAGCAATGCAGTTGACTCTTAAACTGCCCTCTGGGCAATTAGGGATGGGCAATAAATACTGGCCTAGTCAGTGATGCCCTCATCCCATGAATGAATTTTAAAAAAATTCTCCGAGTGTTACGACATTTTGGGGTCAGGATTCCAGTAAAGAAAATGGCCCAGTTTTGGCAAATGATGAGCAGAGAAGGTGAGTGGACTCCCTGACCTCTTGGCAGCACTCCTGGGATTTCCCGCTGTGCTAGAAGTTGAACACAGGTTAATAACAGGAGTCTATTATATTCTATCGATCACACCACAACAACACTGGGTGCTGTGAGCACAGTTCTGTTGCTAATAACTAACAGGGCTAAGGTATCAAGAGAGTGGGGTTTAAAACCAGCATTCCTCCAATTCTGACTTTGTGTGAACTCCCATTCTCTCTCTCTCTTCCACAACCATTTTCCCCTCCCCATGCCCATCACTTGTGGCCTTGTAGACCCTCTGTAAAGCTGAAGGTTAAGGAAGAATTGTCCCGAGAAGCTATTTTCCCTTAGTGAGCTTGGATTTTGCTCTGGGTTTCTTGTCCTTCGCTGGAGTTAATGTAGATCCAGAGCCTGGAGATGGGATAAAATGTTTATATTGTAACACTTCGAGCACATTGTGGGGTTGGTTTGATGTTCAGATTGATCTATTCCTCATGTCAATCTCTATACATGAAAGGGTAATAAAAAGTTTGAATATTAGAAAGTACTGACAGGCAGTAGATGTGAATGTGTAATAAATTGATTGAATATTATAATCGCGTGTACAGATTTGAATGGGATTGGATAATATAGTCATGTGTACTAAATCAGAAACTGCACAGGATACTGTTGGATAGAGATAATGTGTAATGTTTCTATTGCAAAACTGTTAGCTATAAAAATTATACAAAACTTTTAAAAATTTGTTGACAATTAGGGAGTTCTGTGCCTCTTCGATGGCTACACTCTCATGCATGCATGAAGGAATGCTTAGAAAAAGGAAACCTAAGTTTTGTTCAGTTTTTAATCGATCAAACAGTTAAAAAATTTCCCATTCAATATGAGTGTCAGAAACAATCTTGTCAGCCTTATTGCCTGCCTGGTCTATTGACTCCAGACAGTGACATTCTGCCACGTTTGGGGAAATAATAACGACAGACTTTGGCCCACCTCCTTCTGAGTGTAATGTGGGACAGACAAAACAATACAACTTTGCCACATGTCAAAAACACAATGGAAGTAAAAGGATGGAAAACCAAATAAACTGCTCCGGGTTAATTTGAGACATAGTTACTGGAGATAATAGCCACCCCGAGTTGGATTGTTAAGAATCTGCACTTACCTGGGGGCCTTGTGGGCCAGGGTCTCCTGGGTTACCCTAATTAACAAACACACGTTAGTCAACTTGCCCAGTTCAAGTTTTAGCTCAATCAGTAAAAGTAATACACACTCATTCTTTTATAGTAACTCTCTCTAATGGGTAAGGCCTTACAATGGACTTACCTCTTTTCTGTCCCTCACTCACTGCCTCCATTTCACTCCCCCCACCCCACAACAGACCATTACTAGTTTCATCATGTCCCTTTGTTTTGTTGGACTACACTGTCATGGTCACATGGTTCTGAAGGGTTAATATTCATTGGCTCTACCAATCCTACTTACAGGAACATAAGACCAGTAGGCCATTCAACCCGCATAGACTGTCCTGCCATTCAATAAGATCATGGCTGATCGAACACTTCAATGCCATTCACTCACCTCTCCCAAACCCACAATCCTGAATGTCACTAATAATCAGAAATCTATCAATCTCTACCTTAAACATACCCAAAGACTGAGCTTCCATAGCCTGCCTCTGGTACGGAAGTCACAAAACTCTGAATAAAATCATTTCTCCTCATCTCAGACCTAAGTGACACTCCTGCTGGTTTTAAAGTTTACCCCAGTTCTAGACTCCCTTAACAGGGAAAACATCATACCCTGTCCATCCTTTTAAATATTTTGAAAGTTTCAATGAGATCACCTCTCATTTTTTTTTGAAACAGTTGAGAATAACAGGCTCAGTTTGTCCCATGGAGACAGGGAGCTCTACTCTATCTTTAGGAGGGAGCAGATGTATCTGTACCAGCTCCCTAAGGTCCTAATAATTCTGCCTGACCAAATGTAGTTGGACATATTGCTATCTATAATAAACCTCCCAGTTATCTGAGGATATGCCTGCTCTATGGATACTCCACATGGTGTATCCTTTACCACTAACATTTCCATAAGCTCAAGGGAAAGCAAAGACAAAGGTGGAAGAGTAGCAGTGAACCACTTCAATCCACAGACTGGTAGAGGTGGCAAATACCACGAGGTATCAGGAGTGGCCGCCTAGGAAAGTATATGTTGCCTAAACAACTATTCTTCTGAATGAGCCTGAGTATTGAATTGCTGTGGGGAACATTAGACCTTGCTCTAATGTGCGCCATCATGGATTTATTGCCCTAACTTTGTAAGTTCCTGGCTACGACGGGAAAATCACACCTTAAACAGCCAGAGAAAGCACTGCAGACCCACAGTCATTGTGCTCAGTGGTGAAGCTGTGTTCAATAGTGACGCATTGCTGAAGATTTACGTTCTGCACTCACCGTTTGTTTGTGTATAAATTGTAACTGTTTGAAATTTGGCATTCTTACATTTGTTCTGATGAATGCAAGATGAAAAGATGAGTAACATGTCTCTCTTTTCAGTGACTGTCTGCACACTCAGGTTATGGGACCTGCGACTGGAAGAGTCCAGAAATATTTCCAACTGTTTACAATTACTCCATGTTGGCTACACTGAATCTATCCACTCAACACAAAAAGGATTTTCATTTCTTCAAGAGTAAGAATCTTGGTGACATTATAGGTTCATAAGGACTGAGATCATTGGTTAGAGATCAGTTCTTCAAATATGTATCACCCAGACATCAGCCCATAAGATTCGAAGATCCTTAAGAACAAATTGTCATAGAGTTGTACAGCACAGGAACAGATCCTTCGGTCCAACTCATCCATGCCGACCAGATATCCTAAATAAATCTAGTCCCATTTGCCAGCATTTGACCCATATCCCTCTAAACCCTTCTTATTCATGTACCCATTTAGATGCCTTTTAAATGTTGTAATCCTACCAGCCTCCACCACTTCCTCTGGCAGCTCATTCCATACACGCACCATCTTGTGCGTGAAAAAGTTGCCTCTTAGCTCCCTTTTAAATCTTTCCTCTCTCACCTTAAACCTATGCACTCTAGTTTTGGACACCCCTACGCTGGGAAAAAGACCTTGTCTATTTACCCCATCCAGGCCCTTCATGATTTTATAAACCTCTATAAGGTCACCCCTCAGCCTCTGATGCTCCAGGGAAAATAGCCCCAGCCTATTCAGCCTCTCCCTATAGCTCAAACCCTCCAACCCTGGCAACATCCTTGTAAATCTTTTTTGTACCCTTTCAAGTTTCACAACATCTTTCCTAAAGCAGGCAGACCAGAATTGAACATAATATTCCAATAGTAGCCTAACCAATGTCCTGTACAGCCGCAACATGACCTCCCAACTCCTGGACTCAATGCACTGGCCAATTGATGAATCCTGAATGGTTTATCAGCAACAGTCCTTCTGCAACTAGTATTAAAGTCTGATTTCTTACTGGGATGAGGCCAGACACGTCTTGTTGGCCCATGTTTTCAGAGGTTATGCAAAGCCTTGGTGGATGAAGATCGGGGTACATTGATAGTTGGAACATTTCCCTGGTGTCACTGAGTGTATGTGGAAGTTCTTTAGCACGAGGGGGAAGCTGCTCGTGACAAGAACCCTGTGCTAGGATTTTTATTTTAAATGTGGAGAGATTGTTGTGTGGCATCTGACATGCCAATAAACTGCCCTAGTCTTATCTTAGACACATCAAAAGGATTTACAGATTGACAACCAATCCATCTGGCTGCTTCAGGGAAGCACCTTCCATCACCATCGAATCTTGAGGTGGGACCTGAACCCTGACCGTCTGGCCCAGAGGTAGGGACATTACCCACTGCATCACAAGACCTACCAACCACCAGATACCAATGGTGGGGTTGGGTACAGCTCCGAGCTAAGAATGTTCAATTTTGACCATGGGAACTTGCAAAAATGAAAAGGTCAAAATTGAGATTGGTGGATTATTGCTCGATAAAAGCATTATGGGTCCCAAGGCAGGAGGACAGACGTCACTATGTAGATCAGCCATGAATGGCAGAACTGACCCAAGGGGCTGAATGGCCTACTCCTGTTCATATGTTCCTACTAGCTGCAAACATTGAGATTACCTGACAGAGTAGGGACCAGGAAACAACTCGTGGTTTCTTTCTGACAGGTGTGGGATACTGACTGTGCTAGTGCTCCTTTAGTGAGCTCCTTTACATCTCTTTTCCATGGGATAAGTAAATACACAGTACTGCACCTCGACAAGTCTTTTAGTGAATTACAATGCCCCATTGACATTACCTTCAAACTGGAACCCTCTGCTAGACTGTATGTTAGTAACTCTCCAAATCCTCTCTCAATGCTGCACAGTCACTCAGTAAAAAGCTGCTGTCTTCAAGAAAGAGTGCATGGCTCATAATTTAGCTCCAAACACAAACTGGGTCAATTGACTGAGTTCCCTGTGATCAGTAAGGGATCTGAGTAAAATGGGCTTGGCATGTTGGTTCAGTAGTTAGCACTGCTACCTCACAGCGCCAGCGAACCAGGCTGATTCCAGCCTCGGGTGACTATCTGTGTCTGTGTGGATTTCCTCTGGGAGCTCTGGTTTCCTCCTACAGTCCAAAGATGTGCAGGTTAGGTAGACTGGCCATGCTAAATTGTCCTGTAGTGTCCAGGGATGTACAGGCTAGGTGGTTAGCCATGGGAAATTTGGATGTATGGGGATAGGGTGGGATACATGATGGGCTGAATGGCCTCTTTCTGCACCTTAGGGATTCTCTGATTTCCTCCTTACCTCCTGTTTAACAGACACAGAGCAACGAGTCTCTGGCTCTTTTACTGCATTCTAAATGTTTTCCCTCTCTTCCCTGTTGATGTTGGTACTGGCTACTGTCTTATAATCAAATTGTACAGAGGGCAGCAGCTCTCCACTATTTACCAGAGTGCCCAGTCATGTAATTCTTGGTGCTGGGGCGGGGTTTGTACGTTAAAGGGAGAGATAACAGCTACCAGCTGATCTTGTTCTTTAATCCATGCGGACGTTGGTCAGGTTATAGGCAGGAATGAGAACTCCCTCCTTTCCCAGTTGCCACCTACAACATCCTGTCACCACTAGCCCAACTGGAGTTCAGACCTGGGGACGCTTCTTGAACCCCAACAGCTAGGCAGCGTGTTTACCCACTCGGCCATGGTGAGGCTCTCCGACTACCTTTTCCACTTACATAGTTGCCCCTTCGAAGGATAGTCTAGGAAATGGCCAACTGTGAAAGCCGACGGTGTTCCTCCCGTGAGGGAGAAGGCAGTAAGCAGCACTATTGTCACATGCACAATTGCGGGAGTGAAAAGCAATGCTGGCACACCTACCGGACGACCCAGTACTCCAGGGAAGCCTGGTAATCCCTGCAAACATTTCAGTCATGCCAAACAGAGTTAAGAAGGGAAACAAAAACAGAGAGAGTTGTCTGAGCAAAGCAGATTCACTGTTGGCGATCAACATACGTGACTTCTGAAGAGCTGTAAAATAAGAGGCTGGTAAAATGTGATGCGGAAAACCAGACTGTGGTGACCCTTTCACAAGACAAAGACAGACAGAGACAGACAGGACTGGAACCACATTGCAATGCCACACTAAGTGCCTACTGGGTACCAGCTCCTGGGCTACTCCTTGTAGGGTCACATTTATGGTTTCAATTCTAACACCCTAAAACCTCACCCAATCACATTTCCAAAGATGTTAAGTCCTTGCTGGGCTATGGTCCAAAGGACACCAATATCTTCTGAAAGTGACCCTTGTGCTGAGTTCTTTCAACTCAAGGGGACAAGGGGACTTTCTATTCATCCTGTCCATGCCTTTCATAATCTTACACACCTCTAACAAGAGACAGGCAATCAACGCTGGCCAGTCAGTGTTGCCCATGTCCCATGAGTGAATTACACAAAAAAAAATCCCCCTTCAACTTTCTCTGTTCTGAAGAAAACGACCTGAACCTATCCAACCTCTCTTCATCGCTGAGCTGTGCCTCTAGCGTTCCCGACATTTAGCTGAAGGACCCAAGAATGAAGACTGGATGCAGTGAGGGAAGTTCCTTCACTTTTTATACTTAAGTTCAAAATGCAGTCTGGGCTATGGAATAAAAGTCTCCTTTTTTCCAGCAATATACCCTGTTCTGCCTAGATTCAAGGAGGACACTTCATTCTTTGTAGTGTCATTGAGACTATAAACTGTGGAATAATTTCTTTTTTTTGTATTCATTCACAGGATAATGGCATCGGCATTGCTGGCCAGGCAGCATTTATTGCCCATCCCTAACAGCCCAGAAGAGTCAACCACATTGCTGTGGGTCTGGAGTCACATGTAGGTCAGACCAGGTAAGGATGGTAGTTTCCTTCCCTAAAGGACATTAGTGAACCAAATAGGTTTTTCCAACAATCGACAATTGTTAGACTCTTAATTTCAGAATTTTTACATTGAATTCAAATTCTACTATCTGCCATGGCAGGATTCGAACCTGGGTCCCCAGAACATTATCTGGGTCTCTGGATTAACTGTCCAGCGATAATACTGAAAACAAGAGATGCTGGAGATCACAGCAGGTCAGGCAGCATCCATGGAGAGACAGCAAGCTAACATTTCGAGTCTACATGACTCTTCATCAGATCTCCAGCATTTTTAGTTTGCAGTACAGATTCCAGCATCTGCCTAATTTGCTCCAGCGATAAGACCTCTAGACTATCACTTCCCCCAAATTCTCCTCATCTTTCTCTACAGTTCTTTTGCTAATTATCTTACATTTGTGACATCTGACTACCAACGCATTTGCTAGAGGAAACTATTTCCCCCTATTTGTTCTTTGAAAACCCCTCAGAAATTTATTAGATCTTCCATTTCTGGTCCAAGGAAAACAAAAAGCGAACGTCTGATTTACATTACGTCCAATTTTCCAGTCACCAACAAGAAATGGGAGCATTGTGAATCCTGCACAATCCCCTCTCACATCAAATGAAATCTGCGCTGTAGAAAGTTGATCCATCTATTCCTGTTCCAGGAGCTGGATATCCGAGCAGGCCGTGGATTCTAGCTGGCATTGACAGTACTACCAAAGCAGAAGCAGCTTTGCAATCCAGTGGTTCTGGTCTTACGAAGAGTTAATGGTGTTAGTACACTACAGACTGGACACAGAGGCCTAACAAAGGCAGAGACACTAATTGTCCTGGGAAAGTTGTTTAGCCCATTCCAGCACCAGGCCAACTTATTTGATGCTGTGAGGCAAATTTGGTTTTACTTACGGGAAGGCCAGATAGCCCTCTGTACCCTGGTCGACCCTGAATTCAGGAAAATAAATGACACAAGACAGTGTAACAAATAAGGTCAGAATTCGGTCACTCAAGACAGCACTCACTCAGACGCTACAATGAACAGAAGAAAAAGACATTGTACATAATTTTTAAACTGATGGGAAGTGGGATTTCAGCTTTATTATACTCATTTAACAGGTCTGTCCCAATTTTAACACATTATAGGGCCTTTAAAAGACACATTTTAAACCTTTCAGCCTTACTTAATGAATGTAGTTATTTATCGGTATGGGATCAAGTTAGGAACAGGTTGAGGGAATACCATAATAAATCAATGACGAAAGGAGTGAAATGATAGAAAGGAAGAGTGAGAAATTTAAGATAATCGCATAGAGCAAAAAAGATGGACAAAAAGAAGGTTTAAAGATCAAGGGAAGCAGGTAAATATAGAGATCAGCAGAAAGAGAGAGAGAAAGGGATGGAACAACTGACAGAGATAAGGTGGGGCAAAATGAACAAGAAAGAAGGATATAGTGAGAGATAAAAGTGAGAGAAGGCCAGAAGGAGAGAAAGAGATGTGATGAGACGGTAGAAAGATAGATTGGGAGATAGAGTACAGGTCAGAGAGTTAGGGATAGAGATAGAGAAGTACAGATCATGAAAGAGGGACTGAGAGATAGAGAGAGAGAGAGAGAAATGAGAAAGGAAGTGATAGAAATTAACATGCAGGACAGAAAACAATAGAGAAAGGTGCAGATAGAAAGAGAAGTGAAATGAAGATTGAGAGAAAACAGGATCAAACAAGAGATTGAAAGGCACAGGTAATGATTTACAGACAGATGTAAACACCTTTCATCTCTCACTGGTGTTGTAATGCAGTTCTAAAACAAATGCTGCACTCTTTAATTTGGGACCATTAAAGGCTTGGTGCTCAATGTCTAGATCCCAGTGTTTGTTTAACAGAATAACATTTAATCACAGATAACTCGCAATTAAGCTTATATTATCCAATGTTACATAAAACAAAACAATATTATTGGCTGTTGAAATGCCAAATAGAAACCACTGTTGTGGTAACATTATTGAATGAACTGAATTAACAAAAATGACAAGGCTTTTGGGGTAAGACAAATAACAAAGGAGACAGCATTATCAAACAAGTAAGGACAACACAGAACACAAAATCTCTGGTGGACCCTGTTAGGATGGGAGACACAATACCGATTTAAAGGGACATTGTTGTCATTTCTCTCATTCATGTGTGATAAGGGGTGGGCTGCTCTCATGACTTTTAGAATGGTTTAAAATGCCTTATGTATGACCATGATAAAGAAAAAAGTATTGATTGCTATAGGTTAGATTGATTGGGCAGCGCAATATTGTGCACTCCAACCGTGAGCAATGCCAGATGCTAAGGGAGGTCAACACCCTGAGAACAACTTTAGGAAAAGGCTGAGGAAATCAGTGGAGGGTTTTTTTTACACCTGTCATAAAGGCAAATTAGATTTCCAGCCAATTAGTAGATTCATTTGAACAACAATGTCCCCCAACAGGGGGTTTAAAGAGTGGATTCTTACTGTCAGCCCAAATGTATTTTAATTTTTCTGCGTTGTTTTATTAACATAGCATTTCTTTAACATAATAATTTATTCCTGATGCATTGAGCACAATAAGCAACACGCTCTCTCTCGTTTGGCGGATGCTGTAACAACAGCTTCACAAATGATGGATGAAACAGCATTCAACTCACCACAGTCCCCACCCTGCCAGAAACAGGGTGGGCACTGAGGATTGGGAATTGCTAACCGACTCCTTCATGAAAGATATCACCCAAACTTACCTGAAATTGGGCACAGAGAGGGCATCTGTCCCACAGTCAAAGTTGCACCTTGATATTACCATTCTAGCAGCAGTGCGTACCATGTGCAAGATGCACTGCAGAAACTCACCAAGGCTCCTTGCTTTCCAAACCCACAATCACTTCCATCTAGAAGGACAAGGGACAGCAGATACATGGGAACACCACCATCTGCATTTCAAGTCACTCACCGTCCTGACTTGGAAATATATCGCTGTTCCTCCACTGTCACTGGGTCAAAATCCTGGAATTCCCTCCCTTAAGGGCATTGTGGGTCAACCCACAGCAGGTGGACTGCAGCGGTTCAAGAAGGCAGCTCACCACCACCTTCTCAAGGGGTAACTAGGGATGGGCAATAAATGCTGGCCCAGCTAGTGATGCCTGTGTCCCTCGAGTGAATGAAAAAAAAAGGATGCCCAGGAATCATTCTCTAAAAGAGTACTTTGTTGAGGGGTTTGGCCCACAAGAATATTCAGACCTTCCCTAGCTGCTCAGGGATCTCTCTGCCACCCACCCGAAGGCAAAAAAAAATAAAGAAGTCACCCAGAACTAAGCATACTGGTCCTCCATTTTGAAATATACACGACAAGTCAGACTAGTGTCTGTCATTCAACAGTTTCATTACTTTTTCCTTCTGGATAAAGGGCGGCATGGTGGCTCAGTGGTTAGCACTGCTACCTCACTTGGTCGCAGGCCCTGGTTCATATTCCACCCTCGGGTGACTGTCTGTGTGGAGTTTGCACATTCTCCCTGTGTCTGCGTGGGTTTCCTCTGGGTGCTCGGGTTTTCTCCCACAGTCCAAAGGTGTACAGGTTCGGTGGATTGGCCATGGGAAAATGTCTAGGGATGTGCAGGTTAGGTGGATGAACCGTTCCCACTTGGATTCAATCTGTTTCAATGCTCCAACTAAATGACGAGGAGCCCTCACTGGCTCTGAATTTAAACAGTGGCTCAAGTCTAAACTTCTAAATCTGTATGATGCAGGAGCTAGGTGTTACACTGCACCAGTACCATCCATTCCTGACAGGAACTGAAAGTCTTCTGTACAAATAGCCTTTATTAAGGCAACTGTTTGGCTTAGCAAAGGTTGTCATCTGTTAAAGTGGGTTTGCTTGAACATTCTCGCTTCAATCATGCTCAGAAAGACCTTGATTCAAGCAAACACTCTACAGTTTCAACGTAGTGATTGATTTCGGTCTCTCTCTGTGAGAGTTACTTACTGGCTTTCCTTCCAGTCCTGGTTCCCCTGGGAGCCCCTGAAAGACAAAATCCAAAATGAGTCAGAGCAAGTCTGGACGCTAAGTTTCGAACTTCCCAGTAAACCTTCTCGCTTACTAATACAACAGAGGCTTGGACATCGTTCAAGGAAGTACATAAAAAACATGAAAGGAGCAGGCCATTCAGCCCTTGAAGCATGGTCTGTCATTCAATGCGATCATGGCTGAACTCCTAGCTCAACTTCACTGCTCCCATAACCCATGACTCCTTTTAACGTCCAACCTTCCGTCATTCCCAGCCTTGAATATACTCAACAATTGGCTGACATAGCCACAGAATTCCAGGGATTCACCACTATTGTGAGAAAACATGCCTCCTCTTCTCAATCTGAAATCCTTTATGTTGACACTACGACCTTCTGTTCTATAGACCCACCTGCGATGGGGGGAGTGAACATCCTCTCAGCACCTCCTGTGTCAAGGCATCGAAAAGTTTTATACATTTCAACAAGATCACATCTCCTTCTTCTGAACCCCTGACCCATTCTACTCACTCTCTCCTCAGTTGACAACTCAGGAATCAGCTGTGGAAAGCTTATTTGGATAAATGTGTGGTGTTGCGTTTTGATAAGGGAAACTAAGACAGAGCTTATACAGTTCTGCTAGGGCCCTGGAAATGTTGTTGAACAGAAAGACTTTGGGGTGCAGGTGCATAGGGTTCTGGGGAAACTCTGCTAGTCTGGCAGCATCTGTGGACTGAGAAGCAGAGTTCATGTTTCCAATCCAATATAACTCTCCTTCATCTTCTTCTTCAGTTCACCAGGAAAGCCCAACACAAGCTGGAGGAACAGGAACTCACTTTCTGCTTTGGCACTTTACAACCTTCAGCACTCAATTCTCAAACAACGATGGGACAGAGTACAGAAAAGAGATAGCGAGCTTAGTGTCATGGTGTAAAGACAACAATCTCTCCCTCAATGTCAGCAAGACGAAGGAGCTGGTCATTGACCTCAGGAAGCAGAGTGGAGGGCACGCCCCTGTCTGTATCAATGGTGCTGAGGTGGAGATGGTTGACAGCATCAAGTTCCTAAGAGTAATGATCACCAACAATCTGTCCTGGTCCACGCACGTCGACTACGGTTTGAAAAGCATACCTACTTCCTCAGGAGGCTAAGGAAATTTGGCATGTCCACATTGACTGTTATCAATTTTTACAGATGCACCATAGAAAGCATCCTATCCGGATGCATCACAGATTGGTCTGGCAACTGCTCTGCCCAAGACCACAAGAAATGACAGAGAGTTGTGAACACAGCCCAGTCCATCACACAAACCAGCCTCCCATCCACTTACTCTGTCTATACTTACCACTGCCTCGGGAAAGCAACCAACATAACCAGGGACCCCTCCCACCCCGGTTATACTCTCTTCCACCCTCCTTCGTCGGGCAGAAGATACAAAAGTTTGAAAACATGTACCAACAGATTTAAGGACAGTTTCTTCCTTGCTGTTATCAGGCTTATGAACAGACCTCTCATATATTAGAGTTGATCTCTCTCTGCACCTTCACTGTAGCTGGAACACTATATTCTGCATTCTGTTCTATTACCCTGATGTACTTATGTAAGATATGATTTGCCTGGGTTAGCAATACCTTTCACTGTATCTCGGTACATGTGACAATAATAAATGAAAACAAATCAAACCAAATCAAAATTGGAGCATGAACACCATCCTCCATTGTGATTACAACCTCCTGCAAAATTTTGTTTGCACAGACTTGCTCTCAGCAAAACTGACCTTTTTTTTATCACTCGACATCGACATTAACAGCTTTTGCATCTCTCTCTCTCTCTAATTTTATGAACAGTTCCTTTGCCACTTGCTCAAGGTGTGCTCACTCGCTGTTACACTGACCCCATCTGCTCTACTTGTCAACAGCATAAAAACTATCCTTCAATTCTGAAGAGTCATATTGGACTCAGTACAGAGCTTGAAACTGAAATACTTATTGTGAGCAGTTTTGTGCCCCATATCGAAGGATGTGCTGGCGTTGGAGGGGTCCAGAAAAGGTTTACAAGGATGAAGGGCTTGTCATATCTGGAGTGGTTGAGGACTCTGGGTCTGTACTTGATCGAGTTTAGAAGGATGAGTGCGAATCTGATTGAGACTTACAGGATACTGAGAGGCCCGGATAGAGCGGAGGTGGAGAAGATATTTCCACTGGTAGGAGAAACCAGGGCCCAAGGGCACAGCCTCAAAGTGAAGGGATGACCCTTTAGAACTGAGATGAGGAGGAATTTCTTCAGCCAGAGGTTGACAACTCTGTGAAACTCCTTGCCACAGAAGGCTGTGGAGGTCAAGTCATTGAGTATATTCAAGACAGAGTTAGATGGGTTTTTGGTTGCAAAAGGGATCAAAGGTTACAGGGAGAAGGCAAGAGAGTGGGGTTGAGAAACTTTTCAGCCATGATCGAATATGGAGCAGAGTTGATGGGCTGAATGGCATAATTCTGCTCCTGAACCTTATGTTCTTATGGAAACATTAACTCTGTTTCTCCACAGAAGATGCCAAACCTGCTTGGTTTCGCTAGCACATTCTGCCATTATCAAGCAGGCATTAGCTTTGGTCTCTGGATTACTATCTCAGTGTCAGCTCCGCCCCGTAAATAACTATGTTTGCAATTTATTCTCGCGATGACAGGATGCACTCACCGGAAAACCATCCCTGCCTTTGACACCAGCTTCGCCTCTTTCACCTCGGTCTCCCTTTGCTCCTACGTCACCCTACAATCAATGGAATGTTTTAATTAGACAGTTTGTAGCAGATATCAACAGGCAAGCAAATAATGAGGAAAGAATACACTTGAGTATCAAAATCACATTGCCCAAGAGCAGCAAATACAATTGCAAAATCCTAAAAGCGATTATCTGTACAGTGCCCTCTATACCTGATACCGGTTACTATCTGAGGTTGTATAACGTCAACCCAATGACTGATTCCTAAGTAAAACGATGACCATGCTGAAACTGGCTTTTATAACTCCATTTAATGATATAGCACTATTTTGTAGCTTTTTTTCCCTTTCTCTTGAATTTGAATTTTGGTGTTGAATATTCCCAAAAAACATTGCCCCCAAATACCTGACCCAACCCAAGTTGTCTCCAGCTTTAACTCTCCTTTGGCTTGAATAAAAAACATCGGTGGTATGGCACTTTTCAATTTTATTCTGTAAGTTAATGAGGCCAGTCGTTGCGTTGTATTGCCATTATTTGTATAATGGAGTGTCCACAATTGTGCAATCTATTTTTAAAATTTGTTTTATTATTTTATTCTTTTCTATTTTAAAGATTGGGCTGTGTAAATATGTAGGTGAATATGGGGTAAGCTGTGACCTAATGTTGAGCTCAGTAGTGATGTGTTACGACTCTGCGAGAAGGTTGGAGCTTGTATAGCACACAGCTTGTTGCTTTGTTGTGTTACCATTGTGTACAGATTGTCGATAAACATTTAAAAGTAACGACAACAGACATTGCTGGAAAAACTCAGCCGGTCTGTGCAGAGCAAAATAAAGTAAATATTTCGAATCCGATATGGGCCCTTCAGATATGATAGGGGTGTTTAAGGAACTTTTAGATAAGCACGTGGATATGCAAGGAATGGAGGGATATGGATCAATGGCAGGCAGAAGGGATTAGTTTAATTTGGTGTCAGGTTTGGCACAACATTGTGGACTGACGAGCCCGTTCTTGTGCTGTACTGTTCGATATTCTACGTTCTTTGAAATTGCTCTGAGTTCCAAAGAAACATCATATGGGACTCAAAAACAGAAGTTGCTGATAAAGCTCAGCAGGTCCGGTAGCATCTGTGGAGAAAAAATCAGGGTTAACGTTTTGGGTCCAATGACCCTTCCTCACTGGACCCAAAATGTTAACTCTGGTTTTCCCTTCACAGATGCTGCCAGACCTGCTGTGCTTTATCAGCAACTTCTGTGTTTGTTCCTGATTTACAGCATCTGCAGTTCTTTTGGTTTTTATCGTCAGGGACACAAATCGGTAACTGTTTCTGTCTCGACACATGTTACCAGACTTTCTGAGTTCCTCTAGCACTTTCTGCTGTTATTTCAGATGTCCAGGAATGGCAATGGTTTGATTTTAGTTGGTTAAAAATATCCCAGCACCTGGCCTGTGCTTGTACGAAGAATGCGCATTAAAACAGGTCTTTAGTTTTATTATCATCATAATTCAGTACATGAACCATGATCATGTTTCGGAAGGCCAGTTATCTATCTATCTCTCTGTAAATGTAGGAGGCTACAAGAAACTTACTATACTCAGACCTTATCTCCTTTTGGTCCAACTGATCCAGATTGTCCTCTATCTCCCTGTGAAACAGAAAACCAGATTCAATACAACACAGGAGAAGGAACCTAAATTCAAAACTAATTGAGAGAACAATATTTCAGTGAGTGAATGGTCTAAGTGTAGAACAGGCTTCCTGAGCGATAGTGGGAGCACATCCTTTCAATGGGATAAATTTCATTCAGATAATAACATCTTGGGATACAGAACAATCTCTCCCTAAATGTCGGCAAAACTAAAGGAATGACCATTGACTTCAGGAAGAAAGGAGAAGAACATGCCCTCATCTATATCAATGGAGTGGACGCTGAGAGAGTGGACAGGGTCAAGTTCCTCAGAGTGACGATAACTAACAACTTGTCCTTGGCTTCCCTCATACATGGGATGGTCAAGAAGGCACAACATTGCCTCTTCTTCCTCAGGCGGCTCAGGAAATTGGGCATGTCCATAAGATCCCTCGCCTACTTCTACAGATGCACCATTGAAAGCATACTGTCCAGGTGCACAACGGCCTGGTATGGCAACCGCTCTGCCCAGGACCCTAAGAAACTACAGAAGGTGGTGTGCATAGCCCAGGCCATCATGGAAAGCCAGCCAACCATCCATCCATGGACTCCATTTACATGTGCTGTTGCCGCGGAAAGGCAGCCTACATTATTAAAGACCCATCACACCCTGGTAATGATCTCCTACAGCATCTTCCATTAGGCAGAAGATACAGAAGCTTGAACACATGCACCAACAGGAAGAACAGCTTCTTCGTGGCCGTTATTAGACTGCTGAATGGACTTTCTTCAAATAATGCTGATCTTGCCCAGTGCACCTCCTGTGCAGCTGTAACCTTGTATGTCTCACTCTGTCTAATTGCCCTGTGATCTGTATGTTTGTTATGATCTGAGTGTACTGCTTGCAAAACAACAATTTTCACTGTACTTAGGTATATGTGACTACGAGAAATCATATCAAACCTAAATATCATTTCATAGAGGAGCTGGGGAATATATTTCCCTTGCCATGGCCACTTTTAAAGGTAAAGTTACAATAGTCCCCTCTCTCATTACAGAGAGATGGCTGGTGGTGGTTTATCCTGAGGGGCACTGTGTCTCAAGTAGAGAAGGCAGGACCTTCATGGTAACTTCACTCAGTGCAGGGGAATTGAAGCCACACAGTTCACATCACAAACCAGTCATCCAAGCTGACACTTATTCCTAAATCGTAAGGATACAAAGTGATCACAGAATCATAGAATCCCTACAGTGTGGAAGCAAGCCATTTGGCCTATCCAGTCCACGGTGACCTTCTGAAGAGCATCCTATCCAGACCCACCCCCTACCCTATCCCTGCATTTCCCATGGCTAACCCGCCTATCATGCATATCCCTGGACACTTAAGGGCAATTTAGCATGGCCAATCCACCTAATGTGCACATTTTTAGACTATGGGAGGAAACCGGAGCACCCGGAGGAAACCCACGCTGACACGGAGAGAATGTGCAAACTCCACACAGACAGGCGCCCAAGGGTGGAATCGAACCAGGGTCCCTGGTGCTGTGAGGCAGCAGTGCTAACCACTGAGCCACCGTGCCACACCAAAACTTTGCGTGTGATCGAATGGAGCCGGAAAGAGGATTATGATCACTAAACATCCTCATATGTCTTCATACAACGTCCAGCGTGTTGAACTGCAGTCAAACACCATGAGCCTGACATGATTTGAAGACAGGGGAGGCAATGGCCTCGTGGTATTATCACTGCACTGTTAATCCAGTGACCCAGATAACATCCTGGGGACCTGGATTCAAATCCCGCCATGACAGATGGTGGAATTTGAATTCAATAAATACCTGGAATTAAGAATCTAGTGATAACCGTGAATCGATTGTCAGGGAAAGACCCATCTGGTTCACTAATGTCCTTTATGGAGGCAAACTGCCATCCTTACCTGGTCTGGTCTGGCCTACATGTGACTCCAGACCCACAGCAATGTGGTTGACTCTTAACTGCAATTTAGGATGGGCAATAAATGCTGGGTAGCCAGCAATGCCCTCATCCCATGAATGAATAAAGGAAAAAAAACACAAGTCCAAGTTACACCAGCACCACTGCTAACAGTGGTCACTACGTTAGACAACAGCTTCAGGGAGAGTGGATGGGCGCTGTAGACCAGGGAAGATGGGGGACAGGAGCAGGTGTGGTGGTGGGGTCTTACTGAGAGCGCCATTGTTGCGTCAGCAGTTTTGGCAGCTGGAGGGCCATGCCTCAGTGCAGAAGGCCAATGGGGCCCTTCTGGTTGACCTGCCAGTATCGCCAAGGGGTAGCTGGCAGGAAGTGGCTCTTAACTAACTGCCTGGCAGATGGCAAGCAACCAACCTCCCTACCACTGGTTACATGACATTGTGACTAGAGAAACACTGGGTGCCCCTTGGGATATCTTCCCCTGTTAATGTGCCAGCTTTTAAACCCTGATTTCTAACAGACCTCAGGAGTACCAGCCCAGTGACATTCCCACTAACTCGCCTCATAAATTCACACACATTCAAAGCAATTGGACACTTTATCTTAATTTTCTATTGTCTGGGGAAATTAAACTTTCGTTTTGCTTCAACGTAGTTTCCGTCACCTGGGCCTCCAGAACCATTGTAGAGGTAGACCTTTGAATAAATTGATCTTTGATTGGCTGAAATCTGGTTGCCGAGGATCTTGTTTTCAGCCAATCCAGTGTCAGAACCCTAAGGCACAAGTCGCTTTGGAAGTATGGCCCTCTTTTACTTCTGCACACTTGCAACATGTAAACTGTCTTCAGACATCAGAAACCTGAAGGTACATGGCCAAGATAATCCATGCGATACGTTTCCCAAAAGAATTCCCAACTGTGTATAGAGAGATAACAAGGTGTAGAGCTGGATGAACACAGCAGGCCAAGCAGCATCAGAGGAGCAGGAAGGCTGACGTTTTGTGCCTAGACCCTTCTTCAGAAG